AAACGTTGCATCGCGTCGATCAACACAAGCTTTTGTAAACTACCCTCTGGAGCTTTCACCAACATTTTCCTGATTCTCTCTTTGTACTCATTAACTTCAACTTTTTCTTGATTAGTAATTTCCTGCATCAAAAAAACAATGTTAATTAATCAAATGCTATATATATATATATATGTTACGTCTTAAACGCCTCATTATAATAGAAAAATAAAATGTATAAATGACAATAAAGAGATTAAACAAATAAAAAAATGTGACTTACAGTGAATTGTGGAGTATAAGAAAGAAAATGATAACCCCAAACAGTTGGGTGAAAATTAGCCAAAGGACGAGACTTATTAGTAGAAGAAGAAGAAGCCATTGCTTTGTGGGTTTAAGTTGTGGTAATAGGATAGGTCTATTTATAGTGTACCTTAGTCAAATGAATTTCATTTTAAGTCAAGAATTAGTAATTAGAGTTAGATACATGTAATTACTCCTCTCTTCAAATTATTTGAATTTTCAGGACTCAATTTATTTGTTATGGACTGCTTAATTAAATATTATTTGCCATTTATTTTACATTATTAAATAAAAGTCAAGACTAATTAATTATCCTTTGAAAGTCTTGATTGTGTATATCTTTTCACATTGCTAGTGCATATTATGTGGACATTTAATTTTTTTTTTTAAAGAAAGAGAAATTTTATCCCAAAAAAAATGTTTTCCTTCTAAATTAAGTTTGAATAAATAAGCACGTATTTTATTAGCTATATTAATTTTCTTAGTTTAAGTTTATGTAGTAAATAATTTTTATTTTTATTATCTTTGCAATGATGATAAAATAAAAAGATTTTTTATTATTTTGAAAAATAAAAGAGATGAGCCCAACCAACCGTGACACTTGGACAATTCCTCAATCTCTATCAAAAATTCTATACGTCATTTTGCTAGATCCTGCTCCTTTTCATTTTCTTTAAATTTCTATCTATGACTAATAACACATGCCATAGGTTAAAATAAACGATTAATATTAAATTTTTTAAAGTAAAGCTCTAATCATCATTTAACTAATAAATATATAATATTTTATTTAATTTTAAAATTACTATAATCTTCAAATTGATAAATTTTTGGGGAAAAAAGTTTTCCTCCTAAATTGTTTTACTTAGGATTTTTATTTTATTTTTAAGTTAATATTTTCTTGCATTTTTTTTCCTTTGAGTTTTTGTTTTTCATCATTAGCTACTTAGGGGTATTAATTTTCCTATTTTATTTTCACCTTTTTTCTATTTCCTCCAAAATTAACATAAGCTATATTTGGCAGCAATTCAATATTCTACCTATGGTTCGTAGGTCCATATACGGATCGTACAGGTTATCTGTGACTCTTTTTAGAGAGTGGGTGAATGGGGTGTCGATCGACAGTCACGAATTACGAACAGTAGTCTAACCTAAGGACCGTAGGTCCGTCCGTCGATCATGACTTAACTAAATTTTCCTGGGCTGAGATTTTGGGGTTTTTTTACCCCATTGACGGATCTGCAGGACGGACCGTGGGTCAGTCTACGGTTCGCCGATGGCTTCGTTGGTTGCACTTGTAGATTTTTCTGAAAAGCTGATTTTTTGTCTGTTATGATACGGGGTGTTACAGAAACACGCGTTTCTTTTCTTTCTTAAAAAAATTGCACGCTACTTTTCCTTCTTCTACTAGAAAGTAGGATTCTGAGTTCTAGTTAAATACGGGCACGATAGAGATCACATAATTAATTACCGAGGCATCCTATTACAGAAATAATTTCAAATGATTAAATTAAATTATCCTTACCATAATAAATCATAAATCATTCCACTAGAAATTCGCAATCACACTCCTCTATTTATTTTTCGAACTTCCACATTAAGCACTTATGTAATTCCCCATGTTAAGATCACTGGTACTAATTGATAAACTAAATTACTGACGGATTTGATTCAATTATTGATTTCTATTAGAGCAATACTTGATTTCTATTAGAGCAAGAGAACAAAAACACTCCCATGAAAATAACTTTAACAAATAGATGTAGCTCAAAAAAATAAGCAAAAGTGAGGTATCAAGAGACTTGTGATAAGGCAAAATATACTATATGAAAGATATACGGATATGCGTTAGGAAGGGTCGCTCGGTTTTGATATGTTGTACTAATTGATTTTCCCTTTTGGAAGGATGAAAAACTTGGCTGGGGTTGAATTCCTATAGTCTTTTGTGATGGGCCATTATATTGCAGAAAAAGGTGAGAAATCCCTCACATTGGGTTTGGAAAGGATTGAATAAATAAGACCCCAACAAAATCGGTTATAATAAAAATAAATAAGAGGAATCGAGGTAAATTTCATCAACGAGCTTCCTAATCTTGATGTCATAAAATAATTAACTCACATATGTATGTATGTATTATTTAGAAATTTCCAAAGTGACAAAATTATATGAATATAATCCTAAAAGTATATTTGAGTTTGGTGAAACATTAATTATTTTAAATCATTTGGAATTTGAGAAGCTCGTACATCAATTCATATCGGGGAAGGTTAAAATTGGGTGTCAACAACTGTCCCTCATTTCCTGGATTGATGCAAGAAATTCGAGGAAAAATTAAATTGACCAAAACAATTTTGACCGATCACATATTCATCTCTTAAAAAAGGAATTTGGTACCGATTTTAGGAATTACGGCCGAACCTCGAAAATAGGTCTCATACATATTTCAGGCTATATGAGAATTCCGTCCATTTATAGTTCGATGGGCTTGATTTAACACACGATTTTGAAATAATTCAAAAGTCATCTCGATACCGAATTATGAAGGTATCGAAATGCTCAGAAATAAGACTTAAGAGCGAGTGTAGGAATATAGCCGAGTTTTCAATGTTGAGCTCACCTACATATCCTTACTTCAGGAATCAGGATGCATGTAGTTCGACTCGATCGGTTGAAAAGAAAATCTATTATGCTAGATAACCTTTGATTCTGGACGAGCGAAAAATACAGTCGAATATGAAAAAGAGGCTTGCAATCTCTTACCAATGAATGTGGTGCATTTCACACCCATAATAAAGAACTTGCACGGACATAATTTCCAGAGCTCTTGGCGCATTGTCAGTCAGATTGGAAACTTGCTTTCGGCTATGACTAGCGGCGGTACTGAAACCGAGTGAACCGGATCGGTAAGTTTCGGAACCGATATTGTGAGAACCGGTACTTTTCCAAAACTGGGACCGGACCGAACCGGTAAACCGGTAAATTATTTCGTGTTCCGTCCCGTTCCGAAAGGGAACCGATAGTATACCGGACCGGTAACGGTGACCGTTATTAAAAAGAAATTATTTAAAACTTAAAGATTTAATTTTTTTAATTAAATATAATTTTTATTATAATAATTAAAAAATTAAAAATTTAAATTTCAAATTTTAAAATTTAAAAAATTAAAAATTAAAAATTAAAAATTTTAAAGTTATAAAATTTAAATTTTAAACTCTAAAAGTTTGAAATTTAAATTTTATAAACTTTAATGTTTGGAAATTTTAAATTCAAACTTTAAAGTTATAAAATTTAAATTTCAAACTTTTAAAGTTTGGAAATTTTAAATTCAAATTTTAAAGTTATAAAATTTAAATTTCAAACTCTAAAGTTTGAAATTTTTAAATTCAAACTTTAAAGTTATAAAATTAAAAATTGACAATATTAAAAATTAAATTTAATACAACAATATTTAAAAAATAAATTAAGGCGAATAGCCTATATTTTTATTAATATTTATTTGATATTACAATTACATTTACAAAAATATTAGTAGAGTATTAAAAGATTTAATTTACACAGCCACCTTCTAGGAAGGGTTCTGTTTGAATTAAATCTCGAATTATCATACTTTTACTAATAGTTCGTGCCACCATATAAATCTCTTCGTAAATCATTCAACATTTCCTTAGTAACATGTTCGGGAATTGGTTGAATAGAAAGATTTTCCATTACTTCAATCTCGTCGTCACTATAATCCAACATTACTTCATCAACGTCATCTTGAAATTTGGTCGGTGGTGGTTCACGACTCAAATTTCTTCTCTCGGCATTAATCCAAGCTCAAAATAATACCGATATATCCAAGCTGTCGGCTGCTAATGAATGTCTATGTTCTCCAAGTTGAAACCTTGCTGCACTAAAGACGCCTTCCGAAGCTACTGACGACGCTTGCATTGCTAATATATTCTCGAGCCATCGGTTGTAGTTTTGGAAATCCTTTGCCGCGATTTCTCCAGCATGCTAGAATATCTTCAGTAGGTTCTGTATTTTGATTAACATAGGCATTAAAATCGTTTCTATTATCGTGAGAAAGTTCAAGATAATCCTGTAAATAAGCATAATATTCTCTTCATCAAATCTACTCCTAGAGCTTTGAGGTTCATTTTCACTTGATAAATTTATATTAGCATTATATAAATCATACAATTTTCTAGCTTCAATTTTTATGCTATCTTTAACTTGTTGACAACTAGGAATTTCTTCTAATACATCATTAATATCTAAGTTAAAATACATTTTTTCAACCATTTTTGATGCACCTACATCTTTGTACTAATGATTTAACAAACATGCAGTTAAATAAATTTGAGGAATAGGAATATAATATTTTTTAAATTTTAGAATCATTTTTTCAATGGTTTGTCGAAATCTTGATTTTTTTTAAATTTATATAACTTAGAAGAAATCGTACAAATATCAGGCAAAACAGTACAAATTGATGGACTATAAAATATAGATATTTTTTTTGTAGTTAAGTAAAAAACTTTTAGGAAATCTATAAATTCATTTATGTCATGCCAATCACTATCATCTAGTTTATATGTCATATCAGAATTATGAGCATTCCAAACCATTTGTAAGGGTATTCTATATTCATAAGCGACTACAAGCATTTCATATAAAGTATTCCATCTAGTAGCCACTGTTTTTGGAATTTTTCTAGGTGGATTTTCAAAACATCAATTTTGAAAATCTTTACGCCTAGACTTAACTTGACATTTATATAAAAAATGACATGCATTTTCAATTTTCGTACATCCGTTATCATACACGTGTACACCATCTCTAACCATCAAATTATATATATGTGCAGTACACCTAATATGATAATTATCACCATAGAAAGGACAAAGTGTAGGTTTTAAATATTCAACAGCAACATTATTACTTGAAGCATTATCTAAAGTTATACTACTTATTTCATCACATATTCCTTTACTTTGTAAAATATCTAAAATAGTTTGAGCAATATAACTACCGATTGTTGCATTTGACAACATTTATAACCTAAAATTCTTTTTTGCATATACCAATTTTCATCAATCCAATGTGCAGTAACAGTCAAATAATCGTTAGCGTTTACAGTACGACCCATATCAGAAGTAATAGCTATTTTACAAGTATTATAATAAAATAAACAACGAAGATATTGAAAATGTTATGCATGATAATCAAATACAACCTTTTTTATTGTATTTCTAGCAAAACCTTTAAAATTTGGATTATATACAATTTGAATATAATGTATAAAATCGAGATTTTCAGCAAAACTAAATGGCAAACCCATAAAACATATCATTTTAGCTAGTTCTGCAAGATCTTTTTCTCTATTATATGAAAGTAGTAAACTAGAGCCGAAAATATTAGACGGATTTAATTGTGTTTGTACCATGTTAGAGCCGCCTACTCCTACATTTTTAGGATGGGGGAGGGTACCATTTTTTTTGCTTCCGCTACAGCTTTAGCATGCAAAAATTCATTTTTACAACAATACATTAAATGACTACTCAAATATCCCGTCCCACCAGATTTACCAACAGTTTTATGATTTAATCTATGTTTACATTTATTACAAATAGCTTGTAGTTTTTATTCATTTTGTGCCATAAATTGCTTAACAACCAATTTTTTAGCACGTTCTACTTTAGGCCTAGAATGTACGGGAGGAATAGGGGCAGGACAACGAAAGGGAGCGGGACTAGGAGTATTAGTAGCCGTAGGTGGCTCAATTTCATCACCATCATCATCAAAAAGTAGGTGTATCAGTATAATTATCAATATCATTATCATTATCATTATCACTAGGCAAATCCTCATCTAAATTACCAAAGTGACGTTGTAAATGTTTATGATAAGGATCTAATCCTGAATTACTATCAGTATTAAAAACAGTATCATCAACATCTGTATAATCATCCGTATATATTCTTAATATAGTAGATTTTTTAGTTTTTGATTTAGAAGAACTACCGATTTTTGCATTATCGGAGGATGTAAAGTTATACATATTTTTTACACGCTCTAATGCACTTATTTTAACCTTTCCTTTTTGAATAATATTTTTACCGACATCCATATTAAAATATTAAACGTGAGATTATATATAATACGAAAAATATAATGCAAATAATCACAAAATAAATAAATAATTATTTAAATATAAATGAAATGTAAAATAAAAGTTGAAAAGAATGTACCGAACGTCTACTTAAAAAAGTAGACGTTTATGACCGCCGAAAGCCGAACGTGAAAAGTTGAAAGTTGAATTTTGAAGCTTCAAATCAAATTTTCAAAGACCAAATAAGGCAACACCGGAATTTAAGATTATTATATATTAGAGAATTAGAGATTAGAGAGTAGAGAATTGAGAGAGTAGAAGATGAATAGATGATTTTGTGGTTTAAAAGAATGAAATTTAGGGGTATTTATAAGTAAAAAAATGGGTTAAAGTGTAATTTTTAAAACTTTAGGGTATTAAAAAAGTTTGGAATGGGGTGGGAGCGTAATTGGATGAAATTTGGATCAAATAGCCGTTGGGGGAGCCCACTAGCCGTTACCCAACGGTTATAAACAGATAGATTTAAAAAAATAAAATAAAAAATTAACCGAACCGGACCGGTAATTTTTGGAATCGGGAGGGACCGGTAAATCTCGGTTTCCGTCCCGTTACCTGTCCGGGAACTGGACCAAACCGGTCTATACCAGGACTAACCGATACCGAACCGGTTTTGAATCGAACTGGGACGGACCGAACAGGTAATCGGAATTTAACGGTTCCGCTGCCAGACTTACTTTCGGCAGACCGAAATTCCAAATGAGAAACTAAAAGCCGACAAAAGCCAAAGAAAAATCCACATGCCTTATGATAGGAGTGTGGTTTGATTGTGGTGGAAGTCGCTCCCTCTGCTCGCGTCCTAAAAGTTTTTCACTCCTCTTTGGACTATGTCCAGTTCGCTGCTAAGGGAAAGTTCCACGTTGTGCTGCATCCTTTTTGATGTTGTCCGCATCTGTGGTATGTTTTAGAGAATTCGTTGTTGACACCCAATTTTTGACCCGCGCCGGTATAAATTAATTATCGAGCTTCTTAAATTTTCCAAATAATTCAAATTAATTATTTTTATAAATTTTATGAATATAATAATATAATACATGAACCTTATATTACTTCGAAAACGTTTTAACATAATTTTCGATAATATATTTCTTACATAAGTATGTATATAATTAGTATATCTAATGATTGTTCAAAAAAAAAGACCATCAAAATATACATTTAAAATATTTTATTAAGCTAGTTTAATTTAAATTATAGTTATACTTTTGAATCACTTTTTACGATTTTGATTCGTCATTTTAATTGGTTGTTTGTTAAATTAATCCAATTCCTTCCCCCCCCCCCCCCCCACTTTAATTAACCTCCCAGCCCACCTATTCTCTTCCCCATCCAGCCCAACCCGTTTTCCCCAGCCTGACCCAAACCCAAACCCAATAACCCACCTTCCTTTTCCCTTTCCCCCTTCTTCACCCTGCTCCTCACGCGACCCCCAGAACAGAAAACAAAAAAAAAATCCCAGAGAACACAGCCACGCGTTTTCCAGAAACCTCTTCACCCACGCGTCCCCCCCCCACGCTCTCTCCTTCCTCTCTCTCCATCACGCGTGGACGAAAGAATCCGCAACGGAAACCTGCCACCCTGTCCTCGTCGTACAGCAACGCAGCACGCTAGGCGACGCGAGCTCGTCCTTGGCGACGTAGGATCGAGCCACGTCGTTTGCCGAGGACGAGAGTTTGATCTCGACCCTCCACATATGCCCTCAATCCGTTGGAGGTTTTGGCATCAAAAGGGCATATTCCCTCAGATTCGGAGAGGATTTCAAATTTCGAATTTGAAATGGGTCGAATTCGTTTTACCCGCCTCGAATCGAAGCCCTAGTGTCTTCTATATAAACCCCCACCTCTCTTCAAAACGGGGTTGGATTTTTTGGTTGGGAAAAATTTTTCAAGAAGAAATAACATTCTGGTTTTTCCTGTCTGTTGTAGAAGAACAGAAGGAAATTCAGGGGGAACTATTTTCGAAATCCTTGGTTTGTTCTGTTGTTTCCGAAAAAAAAAGACGAAACGAAAATTTTCTTTGGCTTTTCTGGTTCTGTTTCAGAAGAGTTCAAATTCCAAAGGTTAGAATTTTGGGTATTGGCAATTTAGGTTGGAATTTCTTCTACCTTCGCTGGTTACTTCGAAAGAATGTAGAGATAAACACAGGGAGTTGAGAAGTCGATAAATACATTCCGTTTCGTCGCAGCGTGTGCGACTGTGGTGTCTCTCGAAACGTCTCGGTTGGGGTTCGTATTTCGCTTTCAGTGTGGGAGTTCGTTCTCGCTACCTCGCTCGTCGTTGTTCCAGTCGCTGCTTTCGAAGAGGTAATTCTGTGCTCCATGTTATTTCTTCGTCTTCTGTTTGTTCTGTTTCGAAAGTGAATTGTTGTCGCTTGTGGAAGTTCTGGTTTTGCTGTTCGCCTAGTCTTGCTATTAGCCTAGCCTTTTGTGGAAGTTCTGGGTTTGATTTGTTTCTTGATTTGAAGAATACCCTTTTGAATTTTATTATGTTTGTGGGGGAATCCGTTGTGCACACAAACTGTTTGATGAAATTTCTAAGAGGAATTTGGTTTCTTGGAACACCTTGATGGGTGGTGTAAGTAATTATTCTGCGGTTTTGGATATGATTGTAGAGTTGCGTAGGGATGGTATTTGTGCTAGTGTCATGACGATGATGTGTGTTTTATATCCAAATCTGTATCGTTGAGATATTTTCTTAGATGCGTTTTTCGTGTGTAGAGATTATGTTGTGGGGTTGAGTATGATATCCTGCCATCTATCTACTTGTTATGGATTCTTGTTTTGTTTCTTAGCCTCATTTGGAATTGTTTTGGAAGTCATCTGTTTTCCTAGCTCGATCTCTGTTTTGATAATCGTTAGTATGACTTATTATGAGTCTTCACTAAAAAGAAATCCTAGTTTCTAGTTGCTTGGTCCAAGTCTTTGTATGATGGCATAAAGTGGTTATATATTTGTGTTTATCTTGCATTGTTTAGGTAGTGAAATACACATACATAGCATTATTGGACGTTTTCATGATCATGCTTATCATTGGTTCGAGATTAGTTTTGGCCATTTTCTAGGTTGGATTGCCATTCTACTTCGACAATATACACATCTATTGTTTATTTCCTATTACTTTTCTTTGTTTTGAGGTCTAAAGATGTCATTTTACTGCTTGGTTTTCCTTTAAAACTAAATCGGTTATTAATTATCGTTAAATGATTTGTAAAGTTGTTTCAATTCATAGCTTGCTCCGTTGCTATGTTGCCTCATGCACTAATTCATGTCGTTTGCTTGCATGTGAACCTCTTTTCAAGTCCATTTTGGACTCCGTTTCCTTCCTCACATTTCGAGAGAGTCACGAAGGTTCGGAAACTTTATCAAGTCAGTCCATCAAGACAGGTGTACAAGTTTGAAATTCCGGGAGATTGAAGAAAGATCCAAAATATGGAGTAGAAGATTTCCTCATTTTTTATTATTAGTTATGTATTTTTATTTTATTTGTAATGGGCATAAGCCTTCTTGTCGTTTTTACTTTCTATATTTTGTATATCTAGTTAGGACAGGTGAATGAGTTTAAAACCCAAAAATAGTTGGGTCCTAGTTTCGGTCAAGGCGAACAGAACTCGTAACTTGGACCCGAATCTCTCTCCCTCTCTCTCTCTCCCACTTTACTCTTTGTTTACGTGCTTTTACTTAAATGCCGTTAGTCTAAGGTTAGAAAATTTCAAACCCCGCCGAGACGCTTTTCTATTTTACTAAACTTAAAAACTAAGCCTTAAAAGCGATAAATATTTCAACTTGTAAATTTGTCTAAAACTCTAATATGTTCAAAAATTCAAATTCTACAAGTTCGTTTGAATTTAAAGAGCTTTAACCTTAAAAATGAAAATTTGCAAGATAAATATTCCAAAAAAATTTGTAAAATTTTCTGAGATAAAATCTTAAGAAGTCAAATAAGTTAATCGCCGAAAATCGTGTTTAACGGAGTGTCTTAGGTGCCTGACACCTTCCTAAGACACTAATAGGAATTTCGAACCCCTAAAATAAAACAATTTTTTCTCTTTAGGTTGTTCAGAAACTAGTTTTCTTAATTTTCCTTAAAAATTAAGTGACGACTCCTAAAAAGTCGAAAACACCTTAATAAACTCTTCCGAAAATATTTTTTTGATAAAACATTCATCTTTTCGGATGCTCTCGACAAAGACTGAGATAAGACTCGTCAACATAAAAATGCAATTTAAATGGGAGACAGTGTCTTACCGTGTTGACTTTTAATTGTTCTCTTCGACATTTGACTTCAACTCGATTGGGTTTGACGTAAGGCAAATTAAACTCATGTCTTATGATTGCAATGGAATCTTCAATGTATTCTTCATTTGATGTCAACATAAATGAAAATTGATGCAGTGTGCTAATATTTTCTCTTGATGTCGCCTTCGATGCTCTTCTTGATGTTTACTTTTGTCAAAATAAAAGAATATAGTCGATGTCGATGGGTAAATATTTCTCTTTAGATGCACGATTTCTTTCTCTGGCAGTGCATGATTTCTGCGGGGCATGAATATCTTCCCGCGATGCGTGAATATTGACTCATGATGATCTTCCGCGATGCATGAATATTAACTTGCGATGCATGATCTTCTGCGGGGCATGAATATCTTCCTGCGAAGTATAAACTTCTATGAGACATGAATATCTTCTCGCGATGCACAACTTTCTGCAAGGCATGATATCTTCTCGCGATGCATAACTTTCTACGAGGCATGAATATCTTCTTGCGGTGCATGAATATTAACTCGCGATGCATGATCTTCCGTGATGCATGAATATTGACTCGCGATGCATGAATATTAACTCGCGATGCATGATCTTCCGTGATGCATTAATATTGACTCGCGATGCATGATCTTTCGAGATGCATGAATATTGACTCGCGATGCATGATCTTCCGCGATGCATAAATATTGACTTGCAATGCATGATCTTCCACGATGTATGAATATTGACTCGCAATGCATGATCTTCTTCTCACGATGCATAACTTTCTGCGAGGCATGAATATCTTCTCGCGATGCATGAATATTAACTCTTAATGCCATCCTTGGTATCAAATAAAGATAATGCTTCAGTCGAGCAATATAATTATCTTCTAGGTACCTTCTGGGTAATGATATCGTCTCGACCGACAATACAATAAAATGACCCTTCAAGTAGTTGTATCATCTAGATTGACAATACAAATAAAATAACCTCTCCGGGCGGTATATCATCTCAATTGACAATATAAATAAATGACCCTTCGGTAGTGTATCATCTTAACCGACAATACAAATAAATGATCCTTTGGGTAATAGTAATATCATATATGATATTATGATGCAGATGACGTCCTTTACGGAAATCATGAACTCTTTCTTGAGATTTCTGCTTAATTCATCTTTGAATCCAGCTGGACATTTTTTTATAGACTTCATGTTGTTGTAAATTGACTGAAATAAACTATTCATATTTCCAAGTCTCCGGTAAAAGCAATCATAAAATAATTCCTGTGTCTACAGGAACACCGTTAATTTTGGGAGAGCTTTCTCCCCCCTTGACTCCTCCATATTCATCGATCAGAGGAATTTGCTGATTTCAGAGCAAAGCTATAGACCTGCGCCCACAGAAAAATTATTAGTTTTAAAACTGACTGATCTGTGTCGATTTTTTCAGTTGTCTGCTCCTTGTCCTGCTATCTCCGGTTGACCTTCTTATCTCCCAACTCTTGATAGATAAGACAAAATATTTTATTCCAAAACAAATGAAACACAAAAATAAAAATTTAAGAGAAATAAATTTTTGAGAAATAGTATATTGAAAAGAAAAAGTCACTGCCAAGTGTCATGTGACGTCAGGCTTAGTGAACTTCTTTGATCCTGATGCTTGGAGATATATCTGGTTTTTCGATGGGGAGTATCCAAAGTCACTCTACATTGTCGATAAACCCATGTTTAAAATTTTGAGGCCATCTTCGAAATTTCCGTCCCAGTTAACTGTCTTGATTTATCTTTAATTGTCAATAAGTGAGTCATGGAATTTTTAAGATCCTCTCAAAATTTCTGTCCCAGTTGCAAATCTCGAAATATCTTCAATCTTGACTTGTTGAGGAAAAATCTTATTCTCAAGAATTTTGAAACCCTCTAAAAAATTATGTCCCAGTTTCTACTGTAAAGAGGAATAAAAATCTTACGAGAGATATGACCAAACCCTTGTGGCGCCTACGTATCCCGTTGAGGCAGGAATCAGGTCAAACATAGTTCCCCCTCAAGGTTAACAATAATAAGAAACTTTACAAAGAAATCGATCGAGGCCGACATAGGCCGCCTACGTATCTCATTCTTGAGAATTCAGATCGGACGCAGTTCAAATACAAAGAAATGTTAAAGGGGATAAAAGGAGTGACTGAAGCTGATATAGGCCACCTACGAATCTCATACTTGAGAATTCAGGTCAGACGTAGTTTATTACAAAAGAGATATAACTTTAAACGAAACAATTACAAGCAGATAAAAAATTACAAGGAAATAACAGAAATGTAAACTGAAGCTTCACACGTAGTATTTTTTGACAGCATCTGAGTTGATCGATTTCGACCATGCATTGTCATCCATCTCCGACAGGACCAAAGCACCTCCACATAATACTTTGTGAACCATGTAAGGACCTTGTCAATTTGGTGCGAATTTTCCTTTGTACTCGTCTTGATGAGGAAAAATGTGCTTAAGTACCAATTGTCCGATTTCAAAAATTCTGGCTCTGAATCTCTTGTGGAAAGCTCGAATCATTCTCTGTCGATACAATTGACCATGAAAAACGACAACCATTCTCTTCTCGTTAATCAAAAGTTAGTTGATCGATACTCTTGCTGACTCATTCATCATTACTTAACTAAGCTTTTTGGATAATTCTCAAAGACAGTATTTCAACTTCAGCAGGTATGACTGCTTTTGTTCCATATACTAGCAAGTAAGGAGTGATCCAACCGATGTTTAGACAGTCCTTTGGTACCCCAACAAAGCATATGGTAACATCTCATGCCAACCTCGATGATTGTCGATCATTATCCTCAGAATCTTCTTGATGTTCTTATTGGCGGCCTCTACAGCTCTATTCATTTGAGGACGATAACCGGTTGAGTTTCGTTGAGTAATCTTAAATTGCTCACATATATCTCTCATCAAGTGATTGTTGAGATTTGCACCATTATCAGTAATGATGGATACTGGCATTCCAAATCTGCATATCAAATTGTTGTGAACAAAATCAGCTACAACTTTCTTGATTACCGACTTGTAAGAAGTTGCTTCCACCCACTTGGTGAAATAATCAATGGCAACCAAAATAAATCTGTGTCCATTAGAAGCGCCTGACTCTATCGAACCGATGACATCCATACCCCAAGCTACAAATGGCCAAGGTGAACTCAACTCGCGGCTTAGAAGTAAAACCTTTCTTAACACATAGTGTCATAGATGATGTCGGTTTTTACAATTGTCTCTGCCATCTGCAACTCATGATTCAACAATTGTGCCAAACATAGATTCATATTATTCACTTTATAATTTTGACAAAATTGTTGAAAACTATCAAGTAGAGACTATATTATCATCTCAACTTGAGAGTCGTTGTCAATTTCATCCCCCAAAACCTAAAAACCTCTAGTTCATTCAGAAGACCTATCATGTTCGGAACATGGTCTCTAACAGGAGCGTCTTCAACCACCTTAGTGTTCATGAGAGGTCTCATGGCAGTCTACTAATCTGACCGACCCTAGTCACCAAACATATGTTTGATAGTTTCCGAAATTCCAAATTTTGATTACGGATGATGTTACATTGCCGCACATTTGATGTTGAAGCCATAATGTAACACAACGTCATCTCATCAGTTTTGCGTCATTTATGATAAACTACATTATCCTCATCACTAGATTGTTCCTCTTATTTCAATAGACATTCCTCATAGAGTACAAACTTATACTCTTCATGAGTTAACACGAAGTCAAGATTTCTCCTCCAATAAACATAGTTAGGACCTCAAGTTTGTTATGATCCAAAATAGTACTAAGAGAATTAAAAGGAGACATGCTGAATTTGAGATTAAAATTAATAGTTACAATAGGTCAAATCAAACGAGCAGTCATATAAACATTGAATATCTATATTAACTGGAGAACTATTCAAACACTATATACATATACAATGATCGATGATTCACTCCATAAATGTATACAGACCTAACTCAGAAGGAGAGTCTACTATTAATTTATGTCAAGTAAAATCAGAACTCTAGTTACATCGATCCAATCATATATTACTCAGTTTGGGAGAGTTAATACAAATTATCAAATATATAGTGACTTGTATTAAATTCATATGATAGGGAGGAAGGTCTAAGCAAACACATGAACTTAATGTTTCATTACTATTTAATCTTGGTAACTAAAAGGAAGAACTCTAATCACTATATAACATATTCTTTGTATCAACTTTAAAAAATAAAAATAAAAATCAAAGACCTACAGTTTTCACAAAGTATCATCACACATATATTTCCCATTACATGTTAAGAATATTTGAACATAACATTGTATTAAAAAAAAATTATGAA